CAACCACCTCAGCCAGCTCCTTCAGAACCCTGGGATGCACGCCATCCAGCCCCATAGACTTGTACACATTCGGTCTCATCAGGCGGTCTCGGACCTGCTCTGTCCTCACAGCGGGGGGGATTTACCACCCCAGTCCCCACCCAGAGGTGTAGGGATGCAGGGCTCAGGGACGGGAGGAGTACTGGAGTCCTGGCCGCCAGTGAAGACCGAGGCAAAGAACTCATTCAGTACCTCAGCCTTCTCTCCATCCGTTAAAGCCAGTTCTCCTTTTACATTTACCAAAGGAGGTAAACTCGCTTTGGCCTGTCTCTTCTGGCCAATGTACCTATAGAAAGTCTTCCTGTTGTTTTTCACGTCCCTCGCCAAGTTCAGTTCCACCTGCGCCTTGGCTTTCCTGATCCCACATCTGCAAGTCCGGACGGCATCCCTGTATTCTTCCCAGGTGGCATGCCCTTGTTTCCAGAGTTTGTACACACCTTTCTTCGCCCTCAGCTCCCTCAGCAGGTCCTTGCTGAGCCACGCCGGCATCTTCCCTCCTCTGCCCGCTTTCTTATTCAGTGGGACAGAGAGTTCTTGCGCTCTCAGGAAGGCGTCCTTGAAGAGTAACCAGCTCTCCTCAGCATTTTTGTTTTTAAAGAAAGCATCCCAGGGGATCTCGGCCAACAGTCCATTGAACAGCTTAAAGTTTGCTCTCCCAAAGTTCAGGGTCCTGATGCCACTCTTCACCAGGCCCACAGTTCTCGAGATCACAAACTCAACCTGAGCGTGGTCACTGCAACCCAGGCTGCCTCCAGCCTTAACACCATTCATTATTTCCTCCACATTGGTGAGCAGCAGGTCCAGCAGCGCTTCACCTCTGGTCAGTCTGTCCAACACCTGGACCAGAAAGTTATCATCAACACATTCTAGGAGCCTCCTGGACCTCTTGCAACTCGCCGTGTGGTCCATCCAGGAGATATCCGGGTGGTTGAAGTCCCCCGTCAGGACAAGAGCCTGCGAGCACGAAGCCTCCCGCTTCTGAAGCAGGAAAGCCTCGTCAACAGTCTCCCCTTGATCAGGTGGCCTATAGTATACTCCTATCACCAGCTGGCCTTTGTTAGACCCATCCCTAATTCTAACCCACAGGCTCTCAACTTGATCATGACTGTTTCTCAGAGGAAGCTCCTCACAGTCTATCCACATCCTCCTCCCATTTCTGCTTAGTTTTTACCCATTGTAGTATGCTGGCATAACCTCTCATAGTTAACCTTCCCCTCTGGCTATCATTCAAACCACTGAACTGTTTGTACCAGTACATCTCTTTACATTACTCAGAAATGCAGGTCTTCCTTTCTGCAAGCAGAAATTTGTTTTGTGTCGGAACTCCGTGGTGCCTCTTTGGACCTTTTACTGTCACAACTAAAAACAACATTACATTCCCCACAATTAGCATATGTGATGCTGGGCAATCACTGTTCCCAACAATACCGGCCCAGATGGCTCCATAACCAGGGCAGCAGACTTCAGGAATAGACACTTCACTTGCTGGATGGTTGGAGTCTTGGTTTGGTAAATGGAAAGGAGTGGCAGCATTCATGCTTACATCTTTAATTATGGTAGCAGGAGTCCTAACAGCAACCAGCTGTTGTATTATCCTCAGCGTTAGAGAGTTGAACTAGATGATCTTAGAGGTTTTTTCCACCCTGAATGATTCTGAGATTCTTCCAAGGCACCTCAATCAAACCAGTATGTTCCAGCTCCAGCCTTACTCACATCTTCTGTTTGTCTCCATATCCTAGTGGTGATATGACCACATGTGTCTCCATATCCTAGTGGTGATATGACCACATGTGTCTCCATATCCTAGTGGTGGTATGCAGTCACAGAAACATGCTGGGAAGATTCACATGACTGAAGCATGATGATAAGGACTACAAGATGTTCAGAAGATATAGGCAGAGCAGGAAGCGTGGGGAATTGCCCTCTAAGTTAAGGAGTAGATAGATTGCAAAGAGCTGCCTCTGAAATATAGCCATGATCAGGTTGAGAAGCCCAATAAAGGACGTCTGGTGGTGGGGGTCTACTACAGGCCACTTGATCAAGGGGAGCCTGTGGATGAGGCTATAAGCTTGCACGCTCTCGTGCTGATGGGAGATTTCAGGCACCCAGATATATGCTAGGAAAGCAACACGGGCTGCAGCCAATTGAAGAGACTCCTGGAGCGTGCTGAGGATACCCTCCTGGCCCAGGTATTGGAGGTGAAGCATTACTGCACCTGGTGCTCACCAATGTAGAGGAGTTCGTTGAGGATTATAGAACTGGAGACAGTCTGGGCTGTAGCACCAATGGCCTGGATGAATTTGTGAACTCACAGACCTGCAAAAAAGCCAAGACAGAACCCAGAACTTCAGAAGAGCAAACATTTATCTTTTAAAAGAATTACTGAATGATATTCCCTGGGAAACAGTCCTAAGGGACAACAGAACAGAACAGAGCTAGCAGCTCTTTGAACAAACCTTTCCAAGAAAGAAAAAAAATCCTTCCCAGTGTAAACAAAGAGCAAGCTTACGACCTCCTGATGAGAATTAACATGGGCTGATCTATGAGGGCTCGCAACTGGATAATCTTTGAGGTTTCTTCCAACCCAAGGCATTCTATGATTCTATGATTTAGGAACAGTTCCAAAGAAGAGCCAAGAAGATGATCAGAGAGCTGAAGCACCTCTCTGATGAGGAGCAGGCTGTGGGAACTGGGCTTGTTCAGGCTGGAGGTGGATGAGGAGACTTCACAGTGGCCTTCCAGTACTTAACAGGAGCTTATAAGAGGGAGAGTGACTTTCTACATGGTCTGATGGTGACAGGACAAGGAATAACAGCCTTAAACTAAAAAGGAGATTCAAGTTAGATGTTAGGAAGAAATTTACTCAAGGTGGTGAGGAACTGAAACAGTCTGCCCAGATGAGCTGTGAATGCTCTGGAGGTGTTCAGTGCCAGAGTGGATGCGGCCCTAGGCACCTGGATCTAGGGGGTGGAAACTAGCTCGTGGCATGAGGGCTGGAACTGGATGGGTTTTAAGGTCCCTTTCAGCACAAGCCATTCTATGATAGGGGGGCTATAGGGGTTTCAGGGAGCTATGGGACCTATAGGGGTCTATATGTGGGCACAGGGCTGGGACATGGGGCTCTTATAGGGTTTGGGAGATATAAGGGATCTAGAGGGTGCTATATGTGATAGTAGGAGCTATAGGGATGCTATAGGTGGTTCTGGGAGCTATAGAGATGCTATGGATGCACTACAGGGTTTCTGGAAGCTATAGAGGTGCGATGGGAGTGCTACAGAACTGCTATAGTTGGTCCTATAGGCAATCCTCAGAGCTACAGAGGGGAAACCGTGGTGCTGCAAGGGTCTTGGGAGCTACAGAGTGCCATAGGTAATCCCACTGATGTCCTGGGAGCTACAGGAGCTCATGGGAGGTAGAGGGAGCCGTGGGGATGTTACATGCAGTGCTGAGAATTACAGGAGTGTTAGGGGGATGCTTTGGGGGTGGGGGGGCCACAGGTTGTCTTGGGAGAGACAGGGTGGCTACGGGGTAGGCTATCATCGTATCTATACATGGGATATATTGGTGCTTTTATTGGTCTTTGCAACATTAGGGGTGTTTGGGAGTTCTAGGTGGTTATAAGAGCTGTAGAGAGTACTGTGGAGATTAGGAGGTCATGGAAGGAACAGGGGTCTACATGATCCCATTGGGTTTCTGGGAGCTGTAGAGATACTGTGTGGGCACTCCAGGTGATTATGAGCCATATGGGTGCTACAGGGGTACTGGGATCTCAGGGGACTATTAGGTGCTTCAGGCGTGCCATAGGATTGTGTCCAATGTCCAATCCCCCCTCTTCCAGCCCCTTGGGAGGATGCAACCTGGTGTCCCGTGGCACTGTTGAGCTGCAAATAGCGGGTGTGCATGCCAGATGGGTGCATGGGGTGGAAGTCTTCATCTGCAGTGACCGTAACACCAACAACATCCTTGGATCTGCACAGGAGCTCCTCAAGGCCACTGGGAGAAGGTCATGTGGGAAGGACAGCAGGGTCACAGGCTGAAGGGTCATTTGCCCTTTGTTAGCAGGGCTGTTCATTAGCACCAGGCTCTTCCTTGCAATCAGACTCTCAGGGCTGCCCCTAAACCATGGGATCCTGGATTGCCCCACCATGACCATGCACAAAACAATTTTTCAACAACATATAATAATTTAAAAAAAAACAGCTTTATTGTGCTGCAAAAACACAACTGGAATCCAAAATGGGTGTAGTGCCCCCACAGTACCATCCACAGCTCAGGGCGGGGAAGATGTCACCGCGGGGCTGGAAAAGGGAGAGTGGGGTGGAACTTTTGGGGTGATGAGGGCGGTCTGGAAGTTCTGTGGCAGTCTGAAGGTTTTTAGGGGTTCTTAGAAGGACGGGGTCCTGGGGAGTTTTTTGAGGGGTCTTGGGGTGTCCTGTGCATTCTGGGTGGGAGGGGATAAGGGGGTAGGTCTGAGGGTTTTGAGGAGGTGAGGGGCCTATCTTAGGGTTTTGGGGGTGCTCGGAGGTCCCACCTTCCCTAGCGCTGCCAGCGTCGTCATTGAAGTAGAGAAGCACGGTGGGGATGAAGTCCTTGGGGTCGAGGCGCAGGCTGCGCAGCTCGGAGGTGCTGTCCGGGATCCCGTTCTGCTCCAGGCTGAGGTGGAGGCTCAGCGGGACGCCGCCGTAGCACGCCGTGTATTTCTCCAGCTGCCCCTTCCAGCCCCGCGCCCGCCGCAGCGCCGCTCCCACCGGCTCCTCCCCGCACACCTGGGGACCGCAAGCAGGGAAGGGGACGGGGTCAGGGCGGCGGGTCCCCGGCTCCCGGCACCTCGATGGGGACAGCGGGACCCCACCGGGGAGCGGGCTCGTATCTCGGGGTCCGGGAGCACCCCATCCCGCTGACCTCGATGACGCAGGTCTGGCCCGTCAGGGCGTTGCAGAGGCGCAGCAGGCGGGGGTCGGCCGTCAGACGCCCCACCTGCAGCCGGGGGTCCCGCCACCACGCGGCGTCCCGCGCGGGGGCCCCGTCTGAGCGCGGCGTGAGGGGCCGGGAGCCGCCCGGGGTCCCCAGCGGGTACCGGGAGCCGATCTGCCCGGTGCGGGGCTCCACGCGGAGCAGCGGCTGCCGGCAGGAGGGACGCCTGAAGCGCGTGGCCGGGATCGGAAGCCGCCGCCCGCACCGGGATCACCCAGCTCGCACCCCCGCCGCCCCGGGACTGCGAACACCGGCACCGGGACCGCCGGCACCGCGCAGGGACCTCGAAAACTGCGCCGGGACCCCGAAAACTGCGCCGGGACCCCTCCCCGCCCCGAAGCCCCCCGGACCCGGGGACGCTCCTGGCTCCCGGCCTCCCGCCCCACTCACGTCGCCGCTCTCGGGGTCAAAGCAGCGGCTCACGTCGGTGCCGACGGCGGCCAGCAGGGGGGCCAGGGTGACGTCACCTGGGGGAGAGGGTCGGACTCGGAGCCCCCACACCGGGACCCGTCCGCACGGCGGCCCCCCCCCATACCGCGGCGCTCCCGCAGCAGCGGGCCCAGGTCGTAAACGCGGCCGAGAGCGCTGAGCAGGGGCCGCCCGGCCTCCGCCACCTCCCGCGCCGTCAAGTACCGGGGCCGCCGCTCCGCACCGCCCGCCGCCATGGGGGCGCCGCCGTTTCTACGGCGACGCCGCCGCCGAGCGCCCTCTCCCGATTGGCTGCGTGCGGCCCCGCCCACCCCGGCTCCGCGCTGCCACGGCGACGGCCCCGCCCACACGAAGCTCCACCCCGCCGCCGCCGCTGCAGCGCGCGCCGGGAAACGGGACCCTCGCGGCTGCGCGGGGACTGCCGGGAAACGGCGGCGCCGAGGAGGAGGGTGGGGGCGGCAGCCTGGGGAGCTGTGGAGCCCGTGGAGCCTATGGAGCCTATGGGGCCTATGGGGATCGGGCTGTTGCGGAGCGTCGTGAGGTCCCGGGAGCTATCGGGGTGCAGTTGGGATGCTGTGGGGGCACCGCAGATTTTGTAGGGAGCCCGGGGGGCTGTGGAGGACTGTAGGGCGTGCGTGGAACTATAGAAGGGCTACGCGGGGGGGCTGTGGGACGTACAGGGGTGCGTAAGCGGGCATAGGGCTGATCTGCGGAATCAAACTCTAACCCACGTAAGGTTATAAGAGGTACGGCTTCATTTCAGCGCTGCGCCACACGCTGGGTACAGGGGGGATCGCTCCTCCCAGCTTGCGCACCGGAGAGTGGGATCTCGATACGTTTATAAGCCAATTCATTTATTTAGCAGTATTTTCCAAGACCTATTGACGTATTCATTACTTTTCCGGGAGTTTATTTACATACAGTCCCTCCCCGTAGAGCATGCGCAGTAGCTTCCTCTGGTGGTCGTTGGATGAAGGCTCGACATCTCCCTCCCCACCTGGTGGTGGTCGTTCCTGGATGAAGTCGGTAGTCTTCCTCGCCACGTCCTTCCGACCGTTGTCCCGGTTTTGAGCTCTTCTCCCACCCTGCGTGCCTCTGCAATTTCTTATCCTGTTTGTTCCCCTTTCATTGTTCTCTCATTGGCCCCTTTGTGCTGCTTTGAGAAGGCTTCCTTTTGGGAATGTGTTTGGGCTAGCAAAAGTTAACTAAGCAATTCCTTCTGAGTTAGCAGAAGTTAAACTAAGCGATGCTATTTGCGAATTCCTTTTGAGTTAGCAAAACCAAGCAGTGTTATGGACCCCTCGCATCTTGTATACTTCAGCTCACTATCTCAGGGGTCTATAGGGTCCGGGGGGGGGGGGTTGCTACAAATGTCCTTGGAGCTCTAAGGGTGTAATGGGTGTAGAGCAAACAAAGGCGATGACAGAGCCTTTATTTGAGAAACAGGCACTGTAGGAAAAGATATCAAAGAGAAATGAACTCATCCGTCCCAGGAACAGTTTGGAGGAAGGGGCGAGCTGAGGAATGCAGCCTCTCCCATTATACTGGAATGAGAAATGGGGCAACAGGGGGCTGACTGGGACAGCAGGGGGTGCTTTTGGGGGGGAGGGGTGGAGAAAGGAAGAGTGAAAATCCATACTGTGTATTCATTCTTTGTGTAATATGATTTCTCACTATAAACAATCCAATTATTTGCATCTACGCACTGATAACACTGATAAAACACACAGATGGGAGCCCTGGGGACAGAGGTGGTCTGGGATACGGCACAGAGCCCCTACTTAACGGCAGGCATTTAATTAAAAGGCAGGCCATCAATTTTATGGAGGGAGCGGTCATTTCTGTGAGCAAATTAAATAAATAGGGACAATTATCATTATGAATGTGGATGCTGATTCACTCCATACAGTTCGCTGGCTCTCAGTGGTGCTTGGCTGCTGCATGTTGTTTACATGGCACCACTACCTTCACTACCTTCACTTAGACAAAAGTGATTCTATCCTTCTGTCACTCAGATGTGGAGAGCCACTCCAATGACAGTGGCTGAGGACTGGGAGATAAGCGTCGGGAATAAAAGGTGTAACTCTGTTTTCTGTGTGCTCTCCTGCTTGCAGGAGGTCCGCCATTGCAATTGCGAATAAAATCTGCTTTATTAGAGATACTGTCCTAGAAAATTATTTGGATATTTCCTGCGCTGGGGACGGGGCTCCCTGCAGCTTGTGCTGCTGCGCTGCCAGGCTCCTGCTCAGCCCCCAGAATCCTGCACTGATAACCTTGCATCTGAAACCTCAAACCCTGTACTCTGCACCCAAAACCCAGCCCCCACAAGCTGGCACCCTGATCCCAAACCTTTCACCCAGGCTTCAAAACCTTGCTTCTGAAGCCCAAAACCTGGCACCTTGCACCCACTCCCTGCATCTCAAACCACCCAGAATCCTGCACCTAAAAACCCCAAACCCTTGCACCTAGAGATTTTGTGTTTTAGATGGAAGGGTTTGTGGGCTGGGTGCAAGGAGTGGAAGTAGAGTGCCAGGTTTGGGGCTTTAGATGTACGGCTTTGCAGCCTGAGTTAAAGGTTTTGGGCACAGGGTGCGTGGTCTTGGGTTTCAGTTGCAAGGTTTTGGGTTTTAGATGCAAGGTTTTGGGGACTGGGTTCCACGTTTGGGTTTGGATGCAAGTGTCCAGCAGTCAGAGAGAGCTTGACGCCTGGCAGCGTGCAGTGGCCCTGCCCTGAGCCCCAGCAAGGGGAAGAAGCAAGGCTGCCTGCTTCTGCTTGTTGTGGTCTTGTGATTTTCTGTTGTCAGTGTTCCACATCAGAACATCATTGTAAGCCAGCGGGCGTTAACGAGTGAATGTTCTGGTTCCGTTTAGTGGCTTCTAAGGGCACTTGGAGTATCGTGATGGGGGAGGAGCTGACAGACAGGAGGCAGAGAGACTTTGTACGCGGGCAGGTTGTTACAGGACGGGGGCTACGGTTTTACACTGAAAGAAGGGAAACTGAGGTGTGCTGTGAAGAGGGAATTCTTTACAGGGAGGGCAGCGCGGCTGCGGCAGTGCTGCCCAGAGCACGGTGGCTGTCCTTTCCCTGGAGGTGCCCAAAGCCCTGGGGGGACCTGGGCAACCTGAGCAGATGGTGCAGCCAGCCCACGGCAGGGCTGGGGGTTGGGGGGCCGAGAGGTTCCTTCCAACACCACCACAATTTGATTGGATGGTTCTAGGAACCTTTCGACCCCGTGCAACCCATCCATTCGTGCATTACGCGTTCTATGATCTCTAAGGTCCCTGCCATGCCAACCACACAATGATTCTACCCTTCTGTGACTCAGATGTGGAGAGCCACCCCACCGCCCCTCAATGCCAGCTGAGGACTGGGATCGTGCCAACAGCACCGGTGGGATTGGGTGGGGGGCAGGGGGACACTGCGTGGGGGGAGTGACGGTGGGAATGGGCGCCAGGACGGACAGATGGCGCCGGGGGATGGCACTGATGGCACCAGGTCCTGGCTGGGACAGAGGCCGTGTGCGGCTGGCGACATCGCAAGCAGCCAACAGCGAGGACAAGGGCCTGAAAGAACGGCGGCACCGTCCGATGGGGACAGCGGTGGTGTCCCCAAGGGCTGGCACTCACTGGCGCTGCACTTGGGCTGCCAGGGTCCGTGCTGAGGACCCTGGGGCAGTGGGATCAGGAGGGGCGGTGGGTCTTGGGGAGGGCAAAGAGACAGTGGGGGATAAGGGGGTGTCCTTACAAAAGCGAGATGCCACTCAGCTTCTGAAGGTGACCTCGAGATTAGTTTTATTGACCAAAGGCGCCAGGAGGTTGGAGAGAACTGGTCTGAATTTACAGAGAGAAGTTGGACTGAGGCTGCCAGGGAGGCTGTCAGGCATAGGATGGATGGCGTGGTGGGCAACCCGGGAATGGATCCCCCGAGTTCCTCGGCCAGTGGGGAAAGGGAGCGTGTCTCATGTAGCCAGGAGGTAGGGACTGAAAGGGGCTGGAGCTTGGAGAACGTTTGAGAACTTCCACAGCAATTTCTGCCTGTTGGCCGTCCCTTGAGTAAAAAATGTAAACCTGTTCCGAACCCCTCTATCACCTCTTTGAACATCCAACTGTGGCCAAGCGATTCTGAACATCACGGTGGGACTTGGGCACGGTTGGAACATCATAGCTAACCTCTGTGACATAACAGCTTCCCCTGCCCAGCGCCAAGGGGTGCAGTGTGGCAGAGCCCCAGTGGGCTCAGAGCTTTGGGGACCGCAGTGCTGAGAGGACGTGCTGCTTCCAGGGCTCACCTATCGCTGTGATGGCGAGGAGAAAGGCTCGGCGCACAAGGCGCCCAAAGGCATCTAAGAGCTCCGCAGGGAGCCGGGCTGTTGGCAAGGGCCAGCAGGTCCTCCCTGTGGACAAATTTGTGCAGAGGCAAAGGTGTGAGCTGGGTGGACCTGCAGGGGGGATCGGGCTGGGGACAAGCAGAATGGAGCTGTGCTGCCTCAGGCAGGGCACCGCCACTGCCAGCCTGTAAAGCCCTCGGTGGGGTGGGGAGCGTGGGGACCCCAGAGAACAACCCCCACCCATGCTGCCCTCTCACTGCAGATGAGATGGAGCCGGGAGGCATCCCAAAGCCTGTCCTCTGGGAGGGCCTCTGCAGAGGCTGCTGCTGCCTGCCTCGGCTCTCACAGAGTGGGACCGGTGCTCAACCAGGTTCTTTCCTCCCGCAGAAGCCTCCATGAGCCGGTGGAATTGAGCAGGCCTTTATCAGCACCAGCTCCTGCCTCCGCTGGACAACAGTGTTCAATGTGGCGTGAAACAGCCAGGAGAATTGCAAGAAACCTGGCTGCTGCTGCTTCAGAGCAGAAGATGAACCTCTTGAGAGTGTTCCTCGTACTGCCTGTGGTATTTCTTGGTGAGCAAACATCCTGCAGCGACCATGGGCTCGTGCTGGATGATGTCAGCGTGAGCAGAGGCCTTCAGAGGCACTGGAGCACCAGTGTGGCACCTTCTGCCTTCCTATCCTGGCCGCTTGCTTGCTCCAGAGCTGCTCTCCATCACTGGGTCCCACTCAGCCCGAGAGCTGCTGCGGTCCCCCCAGCGTTAGTAGGACCCCACGGCCCCGGTGCCGCTTCTCGAGGACATCCTCGAGTTGGCCTTGCTTTGGCCTCACTGTAGGGCTGGTGTTCTGCCCGCCACGCTGCTTTAGGTGCCACCGGGTGCACCCAGGGGAAATGGGAGCAGCTCTGGGGCACCGAGCTGCACGGCCACGGGGCTGCAGTGCCCTGAAGGCCGTGGGCAGAGATATGTTCTCAGTCCGCACCATTCCTGACATCCTCCACTCACCTGCAGCCTCCCAGGCTCCAAGAAAAGCCAGCCTGAGCCCAGGGACCAGTAGCAACCCCTGTACTTACGACCTTCTCTCTGTCTTGTCAATTGCAGCATTGCTCAGTGAATATCAACTTAGGTCTTGGATGACACACCTGAAAATAGAGGAAGACAGCATTGCACAGGTCAGTGACCGTGGGCTTGGACATCCTTCCTCAGTCCTGGCCTCTTGTGCCGGCCAGCACAGAGCTCACAGCCCTCTGGACGCGGCTTGCCTTGCGTGTCCGACCTCTGGGCTGCGCTCTGACTTGGTCATGTCCTGACAGTTTCTTGTCTTTCCCAGAAGCTAGTGATATTACATAAGGCAGTGTCTGAGCTGAGAACACAGCAAGACTGCTATCAGATGCCTGACTGGGCACGGAAAAGCAACGGTGAGGACACAGGCAGGCAAGCCCTGCTACCCTCAGCTTCTCCATGTCTGCTGCCTATTGCACTCATCTCTGCCCCATCGTTACAGGTGCTACCATCCAGCTCCAGAGAACTTCTCCTACCTATGAATGTGATTCCTGGTTTTGCTGGCTCAAGCGTTTCATCGTCCCTGTGAATCCTCCGGATACCATCTTGCAGGTATCGTGGCGGTAATCAGCAGTGCTGCTTGCACCCCTCGCTCCCCTTCAGGGGTCTCCCCTCAGCCCTGGCATATTACTCAAGCCTTGAAGCCAAAGGTCCGATATGGGGCTGGGTGTGCCTCCCCTCAGGAGGGCACCTGAGCTGAACTGCTGTGTGGGGCCCACACTCCTCAGTCCCAGCTGGGTGAGAGATGTCCTCCCTGCTGACACCTCAGTGCCACGGCCATCCCAACTGTCCCTCTGTGGGGGTAGAGCTGGGGGCCAGCAGAGCCAGTGGTGGAGAGAGATGGTCCCACTCCGACGCTTTCCCAGCCACCATCTTCCCTTTTCAGTGAGAGTGAGAGCTTCTTTGTCGGGCAGGGAATTCAGGCCCTGTGTTTCTGCCCGATTCCTCATATGTAAGCCACTCTCAAGCAGAAGTACGACACAGAATCACAGAATCACAGAATGGCCAGGGTTGGAAGGCACCTCAAGGATCATGAAGCTACAACCCCCCTGCCACATGCAGGGCCACCAACCTCCTCATTTAATGCTAGACCAGGCTGCCCAGGGCCCCATCCAATCTGGCCTTGAACACTTCCAGGGACAGGGCATCCACAGCCTCTCTGGACAACAGACACTCGCTGCCTTTGCCTATAGCTGAACCAGGAGTGCTGTGGCCCAGCGCTCACTCCTAATTCTCTGCTCTCCCATTCTGTTTGCAGCCGGGTATTTCACCAGGAGAATGCTGGCCCATGCAGGGACATCAGGGCCAGGTTGTCATCAGGTTGCCAGCTAAAATCCTGCCCTCTTGTCTCACTCTGCAACATGTTGACCCAGAGCTGACTCCAGCTGGCTTCATCAGCAGTGCCCCGAGGCAATCTGCTGTCTTTGTAAGTCACTACTTTGCTCTTTTGCCTGGGATCTGGGCACAGGACAGTGCCAGAGCAGGGACTGGCTTGCTTTTGGGCATCCTCAGAGCCCTGTGTCCCGCTGTCTCCCAAGCACTGCAGTGCCCCAGGGGGATGTTTCCTAAGTTGGAGAGGTGGAATCCTTCTTAAGCCTTGCTTGGCAAGCATCTTGGGGTTCTTGATGAAACTTCGAGGTGGAGACTGAGCTCCACCACAAGCAGTGCCGGGCTACTGCCCAAGCCCTAGGGCAAGGGGTGGACAGCCATGTGCTGAGACAGCACACACCTTTGCTCTCTGTGACACGAGTCTGAGCATCAGTCCTTGTGCTTTGCTTCCAAGGGACTGGATGTGGACGGTGAAGAGGAGGTTCCACTTGGGTCATTCACCTTTAATGTGCATAAAGCACCCTTACAGACCTTCCTGCTTCAGGTAGGACAGGGGCAGCACGCCAGGAAGGACGCCTGCTCCCTGCCTCTCCCTGTGTTCCCACATGCCTGCAACTAGAGCCCTCTGGTTGCACAGCCACGCTCTCCCACTGCCTGGAGCTCCTGAGCTACAGGACTGGCAGGGGCGAGCCGTGGAGCACATGATGGGAATTTGAACCCCCATTACTTTATTCCTCCCCATTTCCTTTGCAGAATAATCATGCCAGAGCCTTTCGCTACATCAAGGTTCTGGTGAAGAGCAACTGGGGACATCCAGAACACACCTGCATTTACCAAGTGCAGGTGCATGGGAAGGTGGTGGAAAAAAATGGCCTTCTGAAATTAGATTTCTAAGATCTGAAATTCAACATGTAAGATCTGAAGTTGGATTTGTAAGATCTGAAATTGGATTTGTTGTCAAAAAAATAAAGACATTATAACATCATCTTGAACTGTGTCTGTGTTGAGATGGGGCACACCTACGTGGGGTGGGCAGCTCATCATTCATCTCCACCCTCCCAAGGCTCTGCGCCGAGCTCGCCGGTGCTCCCCTGACACCAACGCGGCGACTGCTCATCGCAACAGCTGGGCTGAGGCACAAACCCAGGTGGAGGGGCCACAGCCTTTCTGGGCTGACACGGGCAGCCAGATGGAGCTCCAAGGAGCGACTGAGCCGCCTAGACCTCTGGCTGTGGGGAACTCCACAATCTCTGGGCTGCAAGAGGAAACTGTGGGAATACAAGAAGAACTGTTCAGAGTGGAAGCTGTGGAGCAAGATAAATAACATGAGAACCAAGGACACCTCTAAAGAAGAGAGAACGTCTCACGGCTCTGATTGGAGAAGTGCCTGTGTGAACGGTTGAAGAGTGTTTGTAGAATGCTCTGCTGATGTGTAAAGGTGGATGGGAAAGTTGTAGGGGTGGATGGGAAAGCTAGAAAAAGAAAACCTGTGAAGGTATATCAGTGACGTGAGAACTTGTGATAAACTATTTGGATCGTTCACATCTGAGTCTGTGCATCAGACGCTGCAAATGGCGCCCAGTGCATGGGGCAAACAAAGCTGAGGCTGAGTGAACCCGGCCCAGCAGCGCCGCACGGCTGAACTGCGGAGAGATTGCTTGGCCCGCAGTGCTCCGCAGGACAGAAGGTGAGCAGTCAGGAACCACGGGGAGTTCGCTAACGAAGGAGCAGCAAGTAAAGCTTGCAGCATTACGGTCAGTTTTAATGTTTCAGGGTCAGACTTTATCTACCTCAGCATTAGCTACTTTTCTCAAATGGATAAGCAAAAATGTCCCTGAATTTCTGAAAACTGGTTTCTCTTTTGATGGAGAGCTTTGGGACAAAATTGGCACAAAACTCCGGGAGGCTTCTATTACTAAAGACAGAACGGCCGCTAAACTTTTACTTGTTTGGCACCAAATCATGGAAGGGCTTAAACAAATTCGACAAGGAAGAATTTCTTACAAGGAAGAATTCCCTCCGCATCGCTCCCTTCCTCCTCCCCGCCTACGTTGCCTGGTGCTGCGTCTCTGCAGCCTGCGTGTGACTTGGTTAAACACAAGGACGGACTGCAACCAGAGGAACTTTTAGATCCTGGTCCAGTAGGTCCAGAAGAAAAACTGAGCATTTTCCCTCTTGATGATAATTTGAAGGGTGTGGGAAAGATAAATTCTTCTACAGCATACTACGGTGCTTTAGAGAAGTGCAGGAAAGAAGCAATATTACGGGGTGATGCTGATACGATGCAAGCCTTTCCTGTGATGTATTGTCCAAATCAGCTCCTCCAGTGGGAATCCCTGCCGCACGAGGCAGTGAAGGAGCTGAGGAAGTCAGTGAGAGATTATGGAGTTCAGTCTGCCTTTACATAGAACCTTTTTGTTGCAATTGGTGACAGTTATGTTATGACCCCCCACGATTGGAAAATTCTGTTACGAACGATCCTGTCTCCCATGCAATTTGCTGTGTTTATGACTGAATACCGAGAACAAGCTATCATCCAGGCTATGAATAATTTGAATACCTTAAATCATATTGGCATGGAGGAACTCATGGGGAGGAGGTCCGGACAACACCTCAGGCCCAGGCACAGATGGTTAGGCAGTGCTTTAAACAGGTGAACACTTTGGTGCTGCGTGCTATCTGTCAGATACCTGATACTACTTCCCCTAATTCCTCATTTGCATCAATTAAGCAGGGGACTGCCAAGCCCTACATTAAATTTCTTGACTGTTTACAAAATGTGCTAGAGAAACAAGCAGAAAATCAAACCGCCCGGGATGTTTTGCTTAAGCAATTAGCAATAGAAAACACAAATGCAGATTGTCTAAAGGTTTTACAGTCCTTAAAGAATGCAGATCCATCCATTACTGACATGATTAAAGCCTGTCAAGATTTTGGCACAGAAAGTCATAAAATGGACTTGCTAGCAGATACGCTGGCAGCTCAACTTGATGCAAGGTCAGCTGAAAGAATGAAATGTTACAGCTGTGGGGAACCCGGTCACGTACAAAGGGACTGCAAAAAGCCTAAGCGAGCAAATAAAAATGCTTGTGCTTTTCCAACTCGACCCTGTCCCCGGTGCAGGAGGGGGTTACACTGGGCGAGAGAATGCCGAGCTAAACTCCCTGTTGCTGCACAGCGCTGCGATTCGCCAGGAAATGGGAAGAAGAGGCGAGACCGCGCGCCATGACAGCAAATACGGTCCCGAATCCACCGGCCACTGCCTGGCCGGCTCACTCAGACCAGCCACCACCAGCAGCGCAGGAGTGGATTTGCCCACCTCCCAGTCAGTGCCGCTGACTGACAGCACCGGGACTCTCATTCCAGCAGGTGTCATGGGCCCCGTTGGCGACGCCAATTTTGTCCAAAGCTCTCCATCAGAGCGCCTTCTTACTGGGACGTCCTTCTGTTACACAGATGGGACTTTTTGTTTTACCAGGAGTCACGGATGCTGACCACACTGGGGAAATTAAGATAATGGCATGGACACCCTCACCTCCCTGCTTTATTCCCAAAGGCAAAAAAATAGCACAATTAATCCCTTTTCATTCTCTGCCTCAACCTGGCATCGGGGACCAAACTGGTGGACTTGGAAGCACGGACAAACCTGCCGTGCTGTGGACCACACAAGTGTCAAAAGACAAACCATTACTGATGTGCTTAGTAAATGGCCGACAGATTTTAGGACTAGGATACTGGAGCGGATGTTACCACCATTAAGTCAAGTGAATGGCCCTCTGAATGGCCACTGAAAGACCCTAATCTGCTATTGTAGGAGTTGGAGGTTTGCAACAGCCCAAGTTTTATATTTTGAAGGGCCTGATGGTCGCATCGCTCACACTGCTCTTTATATTTTGCCAGTTCCTTGTACTTTGTGGGGTCGTGATCTTTCAAGTCAATGGGGCATGATTTTGCAGACAAATTTTCAATAAGGGCCATTGATTGGCAGCAACCTATATCCCTAATTTGGAAAACAGAACAACCTATTTGGGTATATCAGTGGCCCTTAACAGAGGAAATGCTGCATTTACATGAGCTAGTTCAAGAACAGCTAGCTGCTGGTCACAAAGTGCCTACTACGAGCCCTTGGAATACTCCAGTCTTCGTTATCCTCAAGAAGAGTGGGAAATGGAGGCTTTTACAGGACCTGCGTGCTGTCAGTGCCGTAATTGAGCCCATGAGGGTGTTGCAGCCTGGTCTTCCTTCACCTTCAACGTTACCTCCAAATTGGCCTACAGCAGTTATTGATTTAGAAGACTGTTTTTTTACCATTCAACTTCATCCAAAAGACGCACCACTATTTGCTTTCTCAGTGCCCTCTATTAACCAACAAAGCCCTGCTCAGCAGTATCATTGGACTGTGTTACCACAAGGAATGCTTAATAGTCCAACAATATGTCAGTGGACTGTGGGAAATGCATTACAGCCAGTACGAAAAGCTGGACCTCACGTCCTTATGTATCATTACATGGACAATATATTAATAGCAGCAGAACAAGAAGAGGATCTAAAGGACGCTTCACTGCTCATCCAGCAGGCAGTTCAATCTGTTGATTTACAAATGGCAGAAGAAAAGGTACAGCTTACTTCTCGGTGGTGGCTGTGGGTATCCAGCACCCAGCGCCCTTCAGCACAGGGCAGTGACTGTGGGTGGGGATGCGCAGCGGGACAGTCTCTGCTGCCCCCGCGTGGCCAAAGCGCGGAACTGCAGCGGGAGCGTTCTGTCTCCGCTCTGCGCCG